GTGAACAATATATGTTTTGGAATTATATGTATTTAAGATATATATATTGTTTTGAAAAATGTATATTTATTTTCTTCTTAAGCATATATGTTTTACAATTGTATGTATTTACTATACATATATTGTTTTGAAAAGTGTATATATAATCTTATTAAACATATATGTTTTACAATTGTATGTATTTTAAATATATCGTATTTTTGACAGTGTTCCTGCTTCGTACTTTGCCGCCAAATTTAAAGTAGCCCATGCTCCGGCAAACATTCTGGACCACCTTTCTGCCAAGTGGCGTTGCACAAATCCTTCCCATTCAAAAGTTTACCCCTACCTCACGGCCCGTCAGTGGTCTTCTTTACAACAAAATCCTCTGCCACAGCCCACCATTATAATTCAAGTCACATGGATGACACAGTAAAGACCAAAACTCAACGAACAAACTGCTGAACGTGTTCAACAAAGACTTACTTTATCACCTGGACAGTCCCATGTCATGTATTTCATAAATCCCCCCTCCCACCCATGCAGGGGAGCGTAGTAAGTGTGGAAACATATCAGATTAAACAGTGACCTGTTGGCTTAGCATTGCATACTTAACTCAATGAAGCCCCCAATACAAGTGAACTAGGTTGTGTGACTTGTAGGAAGGCATGCAAACGTTTACCTGAAGAAGCGGACGTGCCACAAGTGGCATATGGTATGAAGAGATGACAGCAACTTGTCCGGGTTACCAGAGGTGGCTTCCGCACTAGACGAGACCACTGACGGGCCGTGAGGTAGGGGTAAACTTTTGAATGGGAAGGATTTGTGCAACGCCGCTTGGCAGAAAGGTGGTCCAGAATGTTTGCCGGAGCATGGGCTACTTTAGATTTGGCGGCACAGCCTTTATTGTTATTTTGCAGACGATTTTCGTGTCGACTGTGAGCTGTGCCGCCATTGGGGGCTAAGCAGAAGGACGGGGGCAAAGCAGAATTGCACCGGGGGCGTAGAGGAACGACGGGGGCGAAGCAGATTTTTTGCGGGGGCGAAGCAGAACGGGCGGGGGCGAAGCAGAACGGCGGGGGCGAAGAGGAAGGAGTTTCATGGGGGTGTTACAGATTCACGGCTAAATGTGTATCAAGACTGTTAAAATAAAGCCAGGTATATATACCCCAAATGAAATAAAATGACTGCTCTGCTATCTTTTGTATTATCATAGATATACTGCTATATTTTTATTGCCTGTATAAATAGATATCAACCAACCGACCAACAAACCAACTAAACCAATAAACGTTAAGACAAGGACCGTCTTTATTCAGTTACAAACTACAGGGTCGAAACGACAATGCTACACTTTCGCCTGTTAAAGAATAACCAAGATGAGGCTTTAAAAATTCTATTAACGCTTGTGCCAAAATTAATCATTAAAGTAACGCAAAATAGGAAGCTTAAAATGCATCGACAGGCAATATTATGGGGGGGGGCACCACTATGAATACTAACGGTTGGCTATATTTAGATAAAATACTGTTATATCATATATCATTTCAAACTTTTGTCATTGCTCGGTGGCAGATATACCATCCTGGAACACTTGCAAAAACAACGTACACACAAATATATATTCTTCTCCCCCTAGTCACGAATTGTATTGGTCGGTCCCCTGGCGTCCAGGTCCGTTTGATGAGCAGCGTGCAAATGTTAGTGTTCCTAATGTAAATGGAGACAGATTGGTTGAGTATTGCGGATACATTTGGAAAGTGGCTTTCAATTAGGGCTTCCCTGGCAACTCTGGCCTGCTGGCCCTTGAACGTCTGGTAACACGTTTGGTGCTGTCCCTGCAGACAGTGGATTCTGACCCTGTAGTTGGCGGTACAGGAGTCGAATGGATCAACTACAGCACAATCTGACATGGGCACGGTTGGCTTCCCACCGTAACAAAGGGTTAGTGGCGGTATGGTATACATATGTATTGAGCCTCCCAAGATGCCATATGAGGTTAGAGATTTAGTGAAGGAGTCGGTACTTGAGGACAGTCAAATCCCATGGCGCCTTTAAGTCCAAATTGTCAATAATGACTCGCAGTCGCAGCAATTACAAAGTGCTTAAGTCGGTTAGGACTGCGCGTGGTCGATAGAGATTAACTACTCTAGGCGGCACGAAGTAGACTTCTTTGGATACTTGCCTCAGTAGGGCTTTAGGCTTCTTTTGAGTGTCAGTTATCATCAGTCATAGTCGTCTGAAAGATTGATATAAACCGTTCATACCGCGCGGGATGCTACATGTCCTTTACAAATTAAATTTGAAACTTAGAATCACATATAACCATTTTAAAGTCCAATGTTAAAGGCACACGTTATGGGGCGTTTTTGGCAGAACTACTAACACCAAAGAAACAATGACGTGCTAGACACCATTTGGCAGCCTTTGGTAGTTCTACATTTGCACATTTTCAAAAGCTGATTGAAGTCAGATGAGTTGAAAGCCTTATGGTACCATTTGCGTCTAGACGTCTCTCACTGCCAACCTTTGAAAGGCTCGTTGTGCAAACATAAATCATGTTGCACAGAAAAGGCCGTACACGGAAATTGGATCTTTCCCCCAAAAAGGGCCCGTAGCTGCCTACCATTTTGTCAGAGCAAACTTTCCACCAGATGGATTGCCTGTCACTTGTTAAAAACTCATTTCACGAGAGCTATAATTCTTGACATTGCTCGTAATTGCCAAAGTCGCCAGAGGTTGACGAAACCTTAACCTCGCGGGCCATTCTCTTTTCGCCAAAATTAAAACATATTACGGCCAACGAAGGGCAAACGAGAAATGAACCATTTACCTCTCCTGGTACTCACCTGTCTCTCAAGCTGCGCAGTCCTCTTAAAAATTAGGACATCTAGAAGATACAAAGAATCTAAAGGCTTAACGTGGCCTGTAGAATTATTTTTGCATACGTGATAAATAAATGACACGAAAGAATTATGAGACCCTATAGCTAAAGTCAGTAAACAGTAATCCTATTAATCTGTTGACAATTGTAATTAATGAGCCATTACACGCTATTAATCACATGAGAAAATCAGTAAACGCCTTGGTCGGTTGGCCCATAATTGGGTGTAGATGCATGTGTCCGGGACATTCGATTATTCCTGTCGATTTTCTATGAGCCTGACATTTCGGTCGAAACACAAGACAGCCTTCGCAAGTAAATTACCACCAAGCCAGCAGAACGGGACTCTCTGGCGTCCTTATGGTCTATTTTTGACATACGCTTTGTAGTTTACGTTGATCCATATGCCGTGTACAGGTAACACATGTTGTATGGTCAGTCATATCAAGGCAGGTGGTTCATGTCACGGTCAGAGCCATCTTGACATAAATTCTGGCGTGTCCAAAATGTATGGCGACAGCCATCGTGTCTCCTGACATGGCTGCCATGGCAGACTTTCCAATCATTAGGTCAATGAACCGGCAGTGCTGTTCACGGTCATCATTTCCTAATGTTACTTATAGCTCAATTATCAATGATCCATTTGTCACTTTGCGGGGGTGGGAATCTGACGGGATGGAAGGTTTGTTTTTATGTTCTGTGCTACAGGACATCTCCATTCTGTCACATCATTATAATTGTCTCTCTAGTTATAATTATCTCTATAATTGGGGTGTCCTTATTCACTCCTGCTGCGACTCTCGTAAGTAACACAAACCATGTCTGATCTCCGTACCTAACACCCTGTTTGTACAATTTGTACAACCCACATAAAAGCTACCCCAGATACACTGTTAACGCATTTGAATGAACGTTGTATTAATTTGTAACCGTTATTACTGTATATTGTATATTGTACCAGGGCTCGCCCTTTATGATAGCATCCGCCTAGTTAGGCAGTCCTGGCTAATATGTCATTTTATGCAAACTTATAAATCAAATTAAAATCAAATCAAAGGCTCAATAATGTCTCATATTTTAAATCGAGATATTCCTATTGTTGTTGCTTATCCTTTAATATAATACAGCTCCGAAATAAAACTCTGAAAGAGCTGACAGCAAGTGGCCATTTATTTAGCTCTCCAGGTTATGGCGTATCTGTTGCGCCTGTCCGTAATCCCAGTCTGCCATTACCCCAGTGTAACAAACCCCTCCTACAATACCTCAGTCACGTCCCGGGGATTACTGCGCGCTGCACGCCTGGGTCTGCGCGTTTTGTCCAGGGAACGAGGATGATACATTTCATTGAAAACTCGCAAGCGATGATCCCCCACTATTATCCTGGGCGGATGTAGGATAGTAACATATTGTGGGGTTAACTTGGTAACCAACATTAAAGAAAGAAGAAGAAGAAAATTATGTTGTCCTACTCTGCAATTTTTATCAAATGGAGGTGGTAAAAGCATGCTACAAAGAAATGATGCATTCTCAGACTTATTCAATGGTGAACCAGAGACAGTGTCTAAGAATACTGTACCCTTGGTCATCAATCGTTTTATGTGGAGAGCAGCCACAGTTGTTTTCCATGAATAATTTGATCAGGTTGGTGAATGATTGAATAGCAACGTTATTTATTCACAATCACTTGTTTAACTAGAGCCGACGTTTCGATGACCGTCTGTATATTCATCAGTGCACAGTGAACGAACCAGTCATAATTGCCCTGATGAAGATGACAGGCGGTCGTCAAAAAACGTCTGCTCTTGTTAAACGAGCGGCTGGTAAACAAAGAACGTCGCTATCCTCGGCTGTATTTTGATTATTGGACACCGTGCGGACGACTCCCCAGGCAACTGAAGAATTGCTGTCTTGTCAACCTACTTAATGAGGACGCGATGATGTTAGAAATGATGAGAGGTCCAGGGGGCCAGATCGAGTTCAGGAGGGTAATGATGATGCAGAATTAGTCCGGTCGATTTTGTCCCAAAGCGGCACTTCAACCAGATCGTTTAATCCGTGCGTATAGCCAGTCTAGGATTTAGACGGCGAGCTCACCATGGAGCACATATTGTTGCTGAACTGTCCTCTTCTCCTGTAGGTTTGGCGGGCTTGTAAGACGCGGTGCGGACCCGTCTAGACGGGCGGAGGCGTGACAGAAAAGGGCGCTAGGAAAGAAGCCATTGCATGGGCAGAAGTCATCGCTTGGAATCTTTAATCATCGTAGGTACGTTACGTGTGTTGTGATAACAAGTCTTTCGTTGTTTTTCTTTCAGTCAATAATGATCTATGTGTTGCATATGGTGACTATTGGCAAAACATTTTAGAAATTCATAGAAGGTAAGACGTATGGTCGGATGGGTGGGCAATTTCCCTACTGCTTATTACCGTAATACATGTACGTCAGTCTGTGCCACTAGGGTATATGGTATAGGTTAATAGTTCTAAAGCTATAGCTAAGGCTGCGGGTTAAAGATATTTTTGTTCGAGTACGTATACTTTTGATTACAAAACTCATATACACATTTATTTTTGTATGATAAAAATTCGCTGATATTTTCGCTGCATTTTCAGAGAAGCAAGCAGACTGAAGAAAACAGCAGTGAAGTCAGCGTGTGTACATACAGAACTGATAATGGATGACGGCATTCCTACAAAGTGGCTGTACTGTGCTGCTTTGCTGTACTTCTCCTGGTCTCCTGTGTTTCCAAGGACCATATCCTTAAACTCAACAGCCATGGGCGTATCGAGGCTAGGCGGTAACGGACAGCTCAGAAAACCTACAGCGTCTTCGTCGCAGGACGGGTTGACAATGTCGAGGAGACGTTGGTGGCGGTCGGAATTTTGTCGCGTGAATCTGTCGTGTTTCCACGAGCAGACGCTCACCAGTAAAGTGGACGTGTGCGTGTGCAGAACTAACAGAGACAACTTCACGGTGCCGCAGAACTGTTCCGTCTCCAGGGCGCCCACTCTTCTGCAATTTCTGGATTCCGCGGAAAACTCTCCCAGATTGACTTCGATCTGTCTGGAGACGAAGTTCGAGTCCAAACTGAACCGTACGGAGATGTCCATGGATTGTCACATCTTTCAGATACCTGATTTCACTCACTCTGTAGGGTTTGTGGATCCTGACCAGGTCTCCTTCCCAGGGTACAGAAACTCGTCCCCAGCTCTGTTGGCCCAGCGTTCCCGGCCGCGGCCATGTTTGATGTACCTCATCAGAGGAAAGGACATCCTGAGGGGGAGCGGAGGTCTTCCCGATGCCGTCATGTCGGCTATCGGAGCCGGGGTCGTCATGATGATTGTGTCTGTTATCCTTTGCTCCTGTAGAAAGATGAAATGAAAAACTGACCATGCAGTTCTTGCAACGTTCCTCACTTAACAAACAACCTTCGTTGTGTTTGAGAGCACATAGATCTGTTCCTTTATTTATATCATCTTACTCATTGAAAAGCCTTATCACATTTTAAAATTATCGATAAAGTAGGGCGGACAATGAACATTTAGTTGTGTAGAGCACTATTTTGTCCAAAAGCCCTTGCACTTATCATTAGTACTGATTTATAAAAATATTGCTACATCGTTGTTACATTTTAGACATTCTCTACTCTTTCTTAAAAAAAACCTGTCCCATATCAGTATGTCCATATCCTACCCTTGAATCTAAGGGCATTGCATCGTTTGTGTACATATGCCTCAACAATGACGAAAACAAAACAATGCTTCGCCAGGATTCATTGAGTTCATGATGTTTTTATCCGACCATCCACAGTTCCTACTTATTGTGTAGTCACCTAATCTTCACACGTACGTCACGCATCGGTATGGTATGGTATCTCTGTGGGTATATCTACCATAGACAAACGCACATGTCCTTCGTCTCACTTACTACGTGCAGCTTACCCTCCAAGCAGATTACTTTGGGGGCATGGTGAGTCTATTGGCCGCCTGTTTTCAGTAAGCCCTGTAGAGGCGGCCAATAGACTCCCCTTCCCCCTAAAGAAATCTGCTTGTACTGTGTAGATTAACTACAGCCAACCCGCGCCGGGTACACCGTCTGACCGTTACGTCTCTGTGCCAATCAAACAGTGTTAATCCTCGGTCAGTAGAGTTCAGGAGTAATCCCCCATCCTCAGTCCCAGCCGACCTTTCCTCCAGGGTAATCGCTGTAGTTTATTTGCCGGGTCCATTCTAATCATCGGCGGTCATTACCGGAGACTGGCGGGAACATGGCACCATTACCACTGATACATGACCCTTCCCCTCCGGCTTTACGGTGTCCTTTACGACTCGTAAGTACTACTGGAACCGTGGCTTTCCTGGTAATTGTGGCTCTAGTTTGCTCATATTTGAGCCGTATCATTGCATTGGCGACGCATGCCACAAAGTAGCACCATAACAACACCCGATTCTGTTGCCTATGCCGGTTCTCCCAAAATGTGACGAGCAAAAACAATAGATGGCGATAAAGGCCAAACGAAAACGTCTTTTTGTAGCTCATAATGACTTACGGTTTAATCGGTATATAAATCTTTAATGTAATTTACGAATTATTCCCTGTTATATATTTAGACTAAACATGTACTAGTATTACCCATTTCAAACTAGTACAGAAAAGGTCAAACCTTTATTATAACATGAATCACCTATGTCCTATATCACAACAGTCGCAGATCGAGGGCTGAATTGATGAAGTGATGATATTACAGAAATTGACTGCAACACATGATTAAAACATTTTCTACACAAGCTAAAATCAACAGCAAAAGTTTTACGGTCAGCATTATCATTCATCTATACACGACCATTCTGTTATAAAATTATGTGACATTTAGAATAATCCGTTTACTATAGCTTGAATAACATTGATTTTATTACAGGTGACAGACGGCGTCCTCAGACACTCCGTGATAGGCATGAAATATTTAACAGGGAGGGGCGCACAGTTTATTAGTAGTTAAATAAATAATTATGTTAGCTGAAGCCCCCCAAGGTCACTCGTCACACCGGACGTTTTCCTTATCAACATCCTCGTGTCACGATCTCCGTAACACCAAGTTAGGCCATGTTGATTTGATTATATGGATGATATCCACGCGCGCATGAATTTTCGGCCGTTTCCAAAAAAATTAAGTTTTCAACCATACTGCAAATCGCACAAAACAGTTGCGAAATAAGCAAATATATACCGTAAGTTACAAAAAAATATTGGAAAACGATACCAATGTCGTAGAATGCCAAAGTCAAACGAAAAAGACGAAAATGTAAAGAAATGGAATTTGAAGAGTAGATTATTCGCAATACCATACTCTGTGTCATTTGTTCAACCTTAATGACCACATACATCTCTGCTTTGTTTTCCAAACACTTTTTTATTCGCACGCTTGCATCAGTTCAGGGTTCCCAGAGGATGTCATCCATATAATCAAATCAACATGGCCTTTAATAGCAAGACGGAGTCCGGTTCAACTGATTAGTATTCATTCTTGTGCGTCCCTCTTAGCAAGTCATTTGGGATTAAAGGCTTAGAATCGCTCCTGTTAAATGTATTCTGGAAACGCCCCAACCTTTTATAACGTAACCAACCCTTCTATGATCACATAAATGGTCTAGACAAGCCCCATTTTCAACTGCAGTAAATAGCCGTTATAAAATATTGCTGGCCTCACCGTATACCATGTTTCCTTCTATAAATCAACGTTAGCATACTAAGAACCGGTACCAATGGAAGAATAACTGGCAAAGTTCCATTCAAAAGTGGATCATAAGAAACTCCAAGTACCAAGGGCCATCAATCAGGGAGGAGAGAATCACTGCCCACAAATTCCAGACCACAGCTAACCGTATAACGTTTATGGTTGACACCGCACTATTTCTTCATTTGGCCGTTCAAACGAGACTCCTGCCCGGTGTGATCCTGTAATATAGGTTGTCAGTCCCGTACAACATTGCCTTCGTTTTTCACCAGCTCGGAAATCCATCAGGATTTGCTGCTAAAACTCGTTTACCACGTACCATAATGATAGCTCCTTTAGATTTATGTCCTGCGCGTCCCTGTCGACTAGTATAGTTACAGCAATTACTATTAACTCTTGACGGGTTCAACTCAAGAGAGTAATTAAGGACAGTAAGAAACTTGAAGTGATATTGCTTGCGCGCGCTTTTGCCATCTAGATTATCATTAACCGCTAATACGATTTAAAGTATGAGACAGTTTGATGCACCAGAACAGGTAGGTAGTGTGACGTGAATGAGAAATTATAGCAATTTTCATCCCATGTTGATTATAATTACCGCATTCAACGGTTGACTGCCTGCGCTGGAAGCCTGTTTCACGTGTGGCAGATTTCCTCCGGAATGTTCGTCGTTTTGAAGATTGATTTGAGGCCACATTAAGCCGGTCATTAGAAGCTGTAAATGTTTTAATGACACAGTCCACCTGCGTCTGCAGGGAGAAAATAATGGTTCTGATACAGGTAATGGTTTCAGTGTGAATTATGCGTTTGACCGCTTCGCTCTTTATCGTTGCATAAAAATGCAAATTAGGATCCAAAGAACCCATCGTCTTGAAGAACAGGAGCGAGGCCAGATGAGGTACGTTGCAGGGATCATTTTGAGTGGTTTTACTACAACAACGGAGCAGCTAAAGGTAAGTTTTGTAATGACATGGAAAATGCATTCTACGGTATTTGCAATATCATTACCCAACATAGCTAACAGGCAAACTTTTTCAAGCCTATATATTTCACGTAACGTCCCCCCTGTGGCCGACTATTGTTTGCTAAGGGCTGTAGCTAACCCTGATCAATATGGCTACCACGACAATGACATTCTAATATCTCTTGTTCAATGAATATGGCAATAAATCCGCCGCCGTGCGCCCGTTTTTCACGACCCTTGTGCAAGAAATTGGTCATTGATCGTCGGAGAGTAATAATCATGACAGTGTCAGGACCCTTGGTGGCATAGTGAATTGTTTTGGAAGGAAAGCCCAGGCCTATTCCACACTGGTGGCGCACTCTCCAACTAGTGGTTGGGGTCGTGTGGCGTATCGGCAGATTGCTCGACTCGGAACCAAGTGGTCCCATGTTCAAGTCCTGACATGCCACCGATTTTTTTGTGCGCTTGGGAAAGGCAATCTACACGACTTTCCTCACTTAACTCAAGTAAAAATGAGCATTGTCCTGTTCCGTATTTGTTCTCTGAGTTGGTGACGGCATGAAATAAGTTGATATAACTTGAGTGTGCGGTCACCATGTCTAGTCATTAAATGTTGGAATAAAAAAACTAGAGGTTGAAGGGTGAGATCGTTATCTTCTTCTGATTTTATCTATTGACAGGATTGTCAATCGACAGTGTCAGTGTGCCAAACGTTATTAAGAAGCACAGGCTAGGATAACCAAGAAGAAATATCTATGTCTATGGCAATCGAGATCTTTATTTGCAATCAGATACAGATTCATGTACAGACATATTCATGTACAGATACAGATTTCTACCCAAGAAGAAATAACTGTGGCGTTTTTAAAACGACAAAACATACAACCGGCAAGAAAAGAAGGAAACGACCTTACTTGTCACTGAAGAAAAATCACAGGATCAGCTCTGGAAGGTCACTGTGGTGATATACGTGATCGATTTTCTGAATATTAAACCGCCATGGACGGGTGAAC